TCTTAAAATATACAAAATCATAAGAAAATGGATCTGATTTTAAATTAGTAAATTGTGAGTTATCGTATACCGTTTTTGCAATTAAATAATTTAAAGGCCTCAAATATTTTACTGTATGCAGTTACGTCCCTATAAGGGCCAGGGTTAAAGAGAAGGGCTAGATCATGCCTTTGAGTGACCCCTTGCCGAGGCGATCCTCGTAGAGGAAGTAATCTGATGTCACTGTGTTGTATCAACTCTGACTTTGCTTGCTTAAAACTGTAGTTTCATTCATCTGCGGAGCGATATTCTAGCAATGCTAACATCCCAAATTGATTTTAATCACATATATTTGTTTTCTTGTAAAGCAGCGTCAAAGTCAAACTAGCGGTCCTCAAAATAATTTTATGCGGTCCACGAATATATATCCCGTAAATTAATTACTATTATTATAACAAGTATTTGAAGAAAACGTTTAAGATTTTAGTGGTTTGAAGTCCAGTTTTACGTAATTCTCATAACTAAAAACAAACGTGAGGAACTCTTCGGAAAATCTAGAAATGGAGCTTTAGTTAGGGGGAAAATGACATATATATACAAAACTACGTTAATCTAAAGTTGTTTAATACGAGTAACATCTTCTCTTCTAAATTATAACCATTTTTTCTTGCCCAGTTTTCTAAGGCTGTTTTTTTTCCAAATTTAAAACGTTAATTTCTTTCTTGAGAATTGCGTCTTTGCAGTCAGTGTCAACATGACTACGTCATCGCCATTCGCTTCCTGTTTCAGGGGGAATGCTCTATGAACTAGCCTTTCTCTTCTAAGTCCTGATAAGGACGGGCATTAGAAAAAATGAAAAACTAACTGTATACTCACCAGGATTCGAGCGTCTAAACTCATCTACATAGTAGCTGAATCTTCCATTATAGTCTGATCCCCGCACCCGCAACCTTGAACACAAACATACACGTGCCATTTGGACCGATTTATTTATGAAACAGAGGATGAATATAAATCATATAGTAGGAATTTTTCCGTTCTACTTCTTTCCTGTTTGTTTACGCAGCATTCAAAATGCACTCAATTGAGGCAAAAATTACTTTTAAGTAATTTAAGTTGAAATATGATTATCATTGTAATTAACTGTTTCATTACATTGTGTTTAATTTTGTGCATTTATTTAGTTATATGTAGTAAAAACATGAGTGTTTTTAAGCTTAATTTCGCTATATATACATAATTTAATGATAAACTGTATTAAACAGTTCTTATTATAATCGCTTAATTGGTACATTTTGTCTCATACTTTTCATTCTATTATTAGTAAAATTAATCCTAATAATATTATTTTAAAAGATTATAATAATTTTACGATATATTTTTTTATCTTTGAGCTTATATGTATGTACATTATTATATGCTGAAAAAATTTCTTCATAATTAGTTATAATAATAAATGATTATTATAGTTATTTAATTCATTATAATAGTTGTATTATAATAAATATTCATGACTTTTTTTTATTATTGCACTAAAATCTATATTCATTACTATTCATATTGGCTTGAAAAAAAAAAGAAACACGAAATTTATTTTAGAAAAAATTAAAAATACTCTTGTAATACTGACAAAAGTCACGTTACAGTACTAATAATGTTGCAATACTGGCAAATGTCACATTAAATCAACTACGATCTAGACATATCCCGCTCAAATAAGGTGAAAATTTGTTGATCATTTTTTTCTATAGTGCAGAAAGTATTTTTCTGCTAAAAATGTAGTTCCATTACATTTAGTGTTCTTATTTTTTAAAGTAAGTGATGGAATATGCACTGTTCGTATAAAATTCATAAATTATGAAAAACATTCATCCAGGTTTCAAATCAATACAAATCTTAATTTCTGCTCATATGAACAAAAGGTGCGAATATGATGACAAGGAGTCTTCCCTTCTTTCAGTAGTAAATTCCCTCTTTCCGGCGGAGAGAGGTCCCTCATATGATCCCTTTGCCCGCAGTACGTAATGAACAACCCTTCTGGATGATTCTAAGTGTTTCCACAGAATGTCAATCAAGGTTGCGTTTGCGATGGTCAAACTATAGTTAGGCACTTACACCACCAAAAAACGCCCAGGAAAAATGCAATAATTCCTTATGTTCTAGCCCATTTAATGGCAAAAGGAGAGACGCAGAAGCCAAGTCGACAAATCCAGGCGGTGTTGTACTCGTATTATCGTTCACTTCACTTCAGTTTAGGAACTATTAGGTTTTTTTATATCAGAAAACATAAAAATAAAAATCCCTCTTGTACTGGAATTTCAGCCACAGGCACTTCACTTCCTAGCTGGACATGTGAATCATTTAAACCTTGACAGCACGCACAGAAGAATTTCAGAATTTCTTGTAGTTGGTCATTTATAAATCGAGGCAGCTTGATGCATGTTTTTGATGCTTAATGCAATAAAAAGAGAATTTGTTAGATGTAAAAAAATTCGAGAGTTATGAGGGGGAAAATTCCAAAATTTTACAACTGAAACAACTGCATATCGAAACTTAAAAAAAAATTAATAATAAAATCCTAATCAATTGTTTTGCTAATTAATTTCCCTTTTTTTTTTTTCTTTTTTTTCTTTTTTTTTTTTCTTTTTTTTCTTTTTTTTTTTTTTTTTTCTTTTCTTTTTTTTTTTTTTTTTTTTTTGTCTTTTTTTTATACTGCACTTGCAGAAGAGGCGAAGCCTAAAAGTTCACGATTTTTCTAAGGACAGTGATGTCTGGACTGCCTTCTGTCATTCAATTAATTCGATGGGAAAGATATTTTAGCCATTAAATTTTTTATTCAAATTCAATGGTAATTTTTTAAATCTAAATGTACATTTCTCCTGTAATGTTCCCTCGGTGGAACCATTTTTGTTTAAAAAACCGATTTATATGCACCCTTCAGATTGCTTCCTTTTAATGCGGAAATAATAACGGAGTTGTCTCTCCGCTCTCTTTAGGAGCCTTTTCAAACTGTTGCATATCATTGAAAGCTTGGGTAGCGTTCTTTCGTGTTTGAAGGCACGTCATAACGGAGAACTGCAAAGACTCGATGAAAGAACATATGGGATTTCCTATTTTTCCTTTATTCTAAGTGGACAGCTATGAAACGTCTTTAACATATTTGGAAAAAATTTTCAGAGAAGCAGATCATTATCTTACTGTAAGAAAAGATGCTTAATGCTCTTCAATAAAGTTTTTTGAACTGGTAATTGTCTTTTACATCATAAGATCTTCACTCAAAATATCCGGAATTACAGATTTCCTATACTGAAATATAACATCTGTATGGAGAACGTTTGAACTAAACAAAAAACATCCATTATGAATAATTAAAAATTGTCTATAAGAAGGATTTTCCTTTCTAGGCATAATAAATTAACGTTAAACAACCAACGGACTTTCCACATTCGGTTTTTAAGGTATGACTCAGTGTTAAGACACTCTTTCTTAAATCTACTCTATTTTTTTAATTTCTGACTCTTAAATTAGCCTCGCATGCGTATATTGATAAAATTGGAATTATTCCTATTTTTTATGATTTCTTTTGATTATGCTTTGTTAAATGGAATGAAACGCATAGAAATTACGTTTAGAAGCCTACAGAATACAAATTACATCAGCTTTCGTTTTCTTTTTCCAAACTTATAACAGTTCCTAAAATTTCTGTTATACGAGAATACTTTTAATGTTTTAGAATCATTTATTTCACTATACCAAAGCACATAAAGGCCATCTACCTTAATTTTCTGTAATACTGATTCAAAAGTTCCCAGTGAAATGTGCCAAAGTATCAGAATACGTTGATAGTAAAACCAGAATTTAGATGTCTGTAGCTTATTCTTATATGACTCTTTAGTGCTATTAAATATCTAAAACTTAACCTCAGTTAATATTGGAAAAATAAATAATTTCTGAGTATTTTCTAATATGAAATTTCTTAAAAGGATTGTTGTAAATTTGCAGAAAATAATTATTAATTTTTCAGAGAATTTTGAATCCAAAGGAAAATGTGAAGCGGATATGAAGAAAGGATTTTATAGTAACAGATACCAAGAGAACATATTTATAGAAGTTGATTAAAATTCACAAGTCATTCTGAAAGCATGATATATTTCAAGCTACAAACTCTTCAGAATTTTTACCAAGAATACTTATAGATAAAATTTTATTAAATGTTTGTATTCCCCAAGTTTCTTACATTTTCTAGCTCTTCTTGGAATTGTTAATTTTCCATAATACAGCCTGCCCTAATTAAAATTGCTGCTCTTTCTAAGTCTGTAACTAAATTTCTTCCTTTGTCTCTAAAATCGACTTAAGTAACAACTCGCATACTGGGAAAGACTGGTTAAAATGATGAATATGTAAGATCTATCTGTTAAGAAAACCACGCATAAATTAATATATTGTAGAGATTAGAATTTTGGGGACGATAAATATGAAAAATGAAATATTCACTCCACAGAGTCAACCAGTAGCTATCTTGACGTCTTAACCACTTGCAATACGATAGTGTGCACGGGAGACTAGGATTGTTTTGTTAGAATATAGCCATATAAAATTTCTGCTGACTAATATGATATTGATAAATAAGGGGTTTAACAGTCTGCTTGTAAATATTTATATGCCTTTTTATATAATTTCAGTCAGCATATAGTAGTATTAAACCTGCGCAGTAAAATATTCAGAAGCTTTCTCCATAATATCAGTAAATTTCTAAAAATGAATATGGTAAAAAATTTATCATTTGTTAAATAGTATCAAGCTTAAATGGATGATATAGAATACAGATGGAATAATTTTCAGAAATGTAACGAATTTTTGCTCAGGACAAATTGCCACTTTCAGGTGAAAGTTTTTTTTATTTAGTTACTGTTATAAACATTTATTTTTTTTATTGGCAAATGTACTTCAGCTTTAAACAAATAATCCTAAGAGAGAATATATTTTTCTGATTTTTTGGTACTTCGTCTACTGAACTAAAGGCGCTTCCGAAGAAGTAAAGCTTGACCAAAGCCTGAATACTGATACAAAAAGTGAAGATCCCAAACTGCCTTGCCTGCACAATGGAAGAGTATATCAACATGGGGAAGAATTTTCATCCAATGCTACTGGGCTTCAAGCACAAAAGCCAAACCAGTGCATTCACTGCATGTGTCAAGTAAGTTAAAATTAAAATTTAAATGAGTTTTCCATTGAAATATTCTTTGCAGAGTAACGAACATTTCTTTTTTTCGTAGGTGCAAATGCAATGACAAAATGGAATATGTTGAATTTACTATATAAAGCATGTTTAGATTTATTCTACATTTTTTAAACTTTTCTATGCAAACAAATTTATTCTGTGTTCAAAAAGTTCACAAAAATACTTTTAGAGCAATTCTATTTCAAATGTACAAAATGATCATCTAACCAGCTTTGAGGTAACATTAACATACATTTACTCTAGCACACATATTCCTGGTAGCATTGCTAGAATGCTTCTTTTAGTATCTATTGTACACTGGCATTCGCCTCGTTTCGGATAGCTTGAATTATCTGGAAACCTTGACCCCCATAGTAATATCTTAATAAGAATGAACAGCTTGGTCACAAGATAAGAAATCTGACAAATAAAGTGGTTGTGACATATTGCATATGGTCTTTTTATATGGAATGTTTTGCCTTCTTCATTGAATGTCTTCATGTCTTAAATGGTAGCAAGTCTAGCTAACATCGGAAGAAGCATGGTGCAACCGGTTCAGAACAGGGCAGAAACGGAACGAGTTTATGGACCCTTCTTGCCTAATGACAACTCTTCTAGCAGTGATGGCTATGGAATTATGACAAAGGGAACATTTTCTGAAATGCAGTGGTACGTCTGAAAATATCTCTAACCAAAGCTGCTTACCTCATTTATTGACGATCATGTACACTCCTTCATATCCATTGTGTCCCATATGCAGATAGTCACTTTAAGTAGAACAACACACCTTGTCACTGTGCACGATTGATCATAAACTGGTTCGAAGAGCTTGATATAGCTCCAATTGCTACAATGGCCAGCTCAGTCCACTCATGGATTTCAGTCCTACATAGTATTTGTGGGACTAAGTGGAAAGATCATTTCAAAGTTATAAAAAATCTTCATCCAATCCAAATGAAATTACAGCTGCCATTATGCCATTGGCTAACTTAAATCAATGATAGCAGCAGTCTGTTCAATCCATTCCCAGAGGAATAACAAATGTAATCAAAGCTAAAAGTGGATCAATGCGTTATTAGGAAGTGCCTCTAAAACTGTGGTCTATCAGGGCCCTTATCTTTAGAGGGTGCATAGCCATGAACGACTGAAAAGAAGTCTTCGGACAACTGATCCACTCATTTGAAATTGTTTTTAAGGGCGTTAAATTGCACAGTAGTCAACACCAGAGAAAATAACGGCATATTTTATAGGTTACCATGTTTCAAGCCAATCAACAGACCATAATCGTTGAGAATCATCCGGTAGTATGCTTGGAGCCATAGCTGGCATGCGAAGAAACAGTTTTTACAATCCCATAACCTATGTCCTTCATCGTAATGTAGCACCTGCAGCAAAACATCGAAAGGAAAAGGCTATATTAATAGCGTGGTGAGTAGGGATCAACTTATGATGCACAACTCTACCAACCTAAACAATAAATACAGCTTGTTCTTCTTTATGATCTCATTTACCTGGACTTCATCAGAAACATATACTATGATTGTTCTTGTTTCTCAGTTACTTCTACCTTATTTCGCGCAAAATTTGATGCGCCATACATTAAAATTTTGTCACATCTATTTCTGCTTAGTATAACAGACAGGCAGAAGGACATAACATAATAAATCCTTGTATCCTAAATATTTTTAATAATATCGTAGATCCGGGCACATGACGGGACAACCGGTATCGCCGCCAGCTTTGGCAGAGCTTGCGATGACGGTTGCACCAGACAAGAGTAGCACCTCGGCACCTGAACGGCACCATGGATCCCAAGAATGCGCTGTTAATCTCAATAAGTAATATAAGAGGCCTTTACCTACTTACTAAGGGTAAATAATAGGTTCTCCTGCACCCATACCTAACTTAATCCATATTCTGATGACAAATTACAGTATAGCAGGAAAACCTTTCGTAGTATTATGCACGAGTATGATATATAATTCCCGTCCTGCTTTTAAACCTAATTTTGGTGATCATAGTATCCGCCGAAAGACAAAATTTTATCTCAGGGTAGTAAAAGAAACATTTTTCTTTACTGTCTTTAAACTGGAACACTAATTTTCATTTTCTTACAGGAAATATCGTTATTAATTTAATTTTAGAAACTGTTTAATATTCATAAGCAAAGCATTTCAAACATTGGCTCAAATTAATCAACCGCAAAATGCTCCATTATGGCTTGTTTCAATTACCGATAGAGCTTTTCGAGATCACAAACAAAAAATACGTATTTTATATCTTAAAACTTATTTAAAACTGACTGAAACCTCATTACTTTTAAACTATGCAAATAATAAATAAATTCATTATATGCGAAGAGTATTTTTTATGTGTATAAGATGTACAATCTTTCTTTTAGACCGGCTTGGTGCTTTGCCGTCTCAGAAACTGTGACTCTGTCCAATGTCTTTCTTCTGATACAAAGGATTGTTGCCCAACATGTAAAGGTAAATTTAACAAATATTTTGTTTTCCTTAAAAACAAAGAAATGTGAATAAAATATCAAGTTTCTAATTGTCTTCTTTATACACTCACGTTTGTGAAAATTGCAACACCAAGAAGGAATCGTCATAATTGAATGCAATTTAATACACAGTAGTGAGTGGTAGTGGTACAAATAAATGATTAAATGTTCAAAGCAAACAAACAAGAACAAGAGATCAGAATCAGTATTTTGTGTGGCCACCACGCGCCGCAATAAGTGCTGCTACACGACGTGGCATGGAGTCAAACAAAGTTGAATGTCTGACTGAGGAAGAGCATTCCATATCGTTTGTACGCGTACCCAAAGTTCGTCTGCAGACGCAACAGGACGAGGATCACGAGCAAGACGCCGACCAATGACATCCCACACATGTTCAATTGGCGACATATCCGGGGAACACGCAGGCCAAGGTAAGGAAGAAGCTGTACCTGCTGCGCTGCAAAGAAGGATTTAACAATCCGAGCAGTATGAGGGCGGGCATTGTCCTGTTGAAATACAGCGCCTGGCAAGCTTTGAAGGAAGGGAACAGCTTCGGGCTGTAGAACTTCACGGATATACCGGTTGCTGTTCAGATTGCCCACAATTCGTAGCAATTGAGATCGTCTATGATATGCTATGGCGCCCCAGACCATAACTCCGGGTGTTCGTCCACTGTGGCGTTCGATAATGCACTCCGGAAGGTGGCGTTCACCGGCATAGCGTCTGACACGAATGCGGCCATCATGGTACCACAAATTAAAGCGGGATTCGTCAGAAAACACGACATGCTGCCAATCAGCACGCCAGTCTCTATGCTGATTGGCCCATTGTAGCCGCAGGCGGCGATGGTCGTGCGTTAGGGGGATCCTGTATAAAGGAGTCCGTGCGCGCAGTCCACACTGCAGCAGACGTCTACGAATTGATGAAGCACACAATGAAACACCTGTAGCTATTGACCACAGTGCTGCCAATTGTCTAGAGGAAGCTGTACGGTCCGTCCGCGCCATGCGGACCAGGTGTCTATCATCGCGAGCTGACGTCACATTTCGGGGTCCACTCCCGGATTTCCGAGTTGTCCGACACTCGTCCGTCCACTGCTTCCAAACGCGCATCACTGTGCTGCTGTTACGCTGCACACGAGAGGCTACTGCACGATACGACAATCCAGCTTCACGAAGGCCGATGATTCTCCCTCGTTCAAACTCTGTAAGTTGTTCAAATCTCGCTCTCTTTCGTCGACGAGGCATAAGTACAGATTGAGTTAACGTTTACCACTAGCAGATAACCACCGATAACCATACACGCCTCGCTACAGCCGTCTATTTATTCGGATCCATCAGCCGTTCAGAGGGCGCTGCTCAGCATACGCATGCGCTACGGATTTGCAATTCTAATCATTTGCATATCATGCGCTACTTTGCATTTCCTGAAAATTTCAGCTCACTCGCGTAAGTCCTTCATGGTGTTGCAATTTTCACAAACGTGAGTGTACTTATTTATTCTAGATGCTGAAATACATAATTTTTTTCTTTAATTCTGTGAAGTCATTAAAAGAAGTTTTAAAAAAATATTAATTCCAGTCAATTATTACATTTTAAGCTATCAGATTTTATATTTATAAAACTTCAACGTTAATTCAATTTAGTTTTAGCGCTTACCGTTCTAATGGCCTTTAGAAATAGCTAATATTTTCCTAACTTCATTTAAAATTTTAGTAAAAGTGCAGAAAGTAAACATTAAGCAATGTAGTGCTTAGAAAATTAGAGTCAAATTGATTAAAGTGATTCTTATGTATTAAACAATCCATTATATTTACAATAAATTAACAGAACTTAGCTATTTGAATGAAAAGATTCGAAGACTGCTGTTTCGAACGAGGATCAAATCCGAGAATACTCAGTTTACAACCAAATGCTATATAGCCATTTAACGATCAAAGAATGTCTTCACCAAATCCTTTTTAAGTTCTTTTTATTGTAGAGAATCAGATGCATATATTGAAGATCAGTCAGAGCAGGAAATCAGGGGCTCTCTAGATACCCTTACCGAGAAAAATCCAATTCACTGACTGAAAAGCCTTTGTGGGTAATTTTCGCGGAACAAAAGTCAAAATTATAATTCAGTGATAAGTTCAGTAATTCAGTCAAAATTATGATGAGTTACCTGAGATTTATTTATGTTTAAATATTTTTGTACTTTGATACTAAATTGTAACGTTGTTTTCTTTGGACGATACATATCAAAGCATACTGGAAGATATACTGTTGCAGCGGACCACACAGAGATGAGAAAAATTGTGTGTGCGGTCCCCGCAAGTCACTGTTTCCAAGCTTTTACGACGTGACACACCAGATGGTTCTGAAATAGCAGACGCAATATTTCGCTACAGTTGACAGTACAAGAGATATAACTTCACGACCAGTGTCAAGAGATTTGAGCGTTCTGCACTGTCTCTGTTGTCAAAGCCTCTTGATTTCAGGAGGGCTGACGAACCAATGATCTTGTTTTTCCTTTTGATATCGTTCCAGATATAACGAATCAGAAAATGTAAAATACTACTGAAAAATTAAGGAGACATCGCTAATTCAGTTTGAAGATTTTTTTCCGTCGGAACAACACGTTAGAATGCTCTTGAACTCTCGACTAGAGAGACCCTCGTTAGAGGTTCCTCATGTCACGAGGACTATAATTCACTTCAATAACTGTTCTATGCTCTCCCTGAATTATATATATTCACATATTGTAATAAATATGGTCATTATATATTATAATAAGTATGTATATTATATATTGTAATAAATATGTTTTGAGTTCAAAAATGCAGTAAGTATTACGCAACCTTACAAATGTACCAACCATTATTACGGAGTGAGATGCACTACCTACCGCCAGTCACCCTCACTATAAAGTCTCAAAGAACTAAAATCAGAGAGAAATTTAAGAATGAATTTTACTGACAGTTGATCAAATGTCCCGAAAGAATGACACTACAAGAAAATATTTTATCAGTAGCAACCAATTTCAAACAGTTAAGTTACCCAGCAAATAAAAAATGACACTATTTACCCACTTAAACACTACTATCAAAAGTTTCGTATAAGTTTGCTATGAAAAAAATAGCCTTACTTAAAATGTAGATCAATATAATTTGGATAAAAAAGCAATTAATATAACAGGAATTTTTCTTTTCGGAAATTAATGATTTTTAACCATTATGTGTTTTGAATAATAGTTGAACGAATTCATTTCTGAAACGAGAAACATCACCACATTATTCTACGTAAACATGAAAGTGTGGAAATCAGTTCCATTTAGAAAGTCTTTTATGAAGGTATGACTTTTTGGCCGGAAAGCTATCAGTTGATATACCATAACTAACTTTATAAGTAGCCTTCACATTTAGTTCCAAATATAATACGTGGTGGAAAAAAATTGGTACTTCTTTCATACATTTAATATCAATTCTACAGACAACTGAAGCAGCTGAACAGTTTTTGAAGTTATTTTTAAATTATTCAAATGGAACCAGGTTTCTCACAAATTTACAAGAATTAAAGAAAATTAGTAAGAGTCTTTCTTAATGGTTCAAATATTAAAAATTTTAATCAGAAGTTGTTCGAACTGATTTTGAAATATATCGCTTTATTACTTTCTTACATAGTGGCGCTGCCAGAACTGTCGAATTTGGCTGTGAAAGAAGCATTCTCATTTGAATATAGCTTAGTAATCTGGATATGGAAAGTAATTAAAATAATAAGAGATCTTGTTGTCGGCCACTAATGATCTAACAACACTATATCTGTTGAGTAAGAGGCGAAAACCTCCATTTCTGAAACGAGAAACTTCTACCTGGCCTTCAGCTTCAGGAACAATATTCTAAGTCTCAAGGGTGTCGTTTTCAGCTCCATTTGGGAAATTGTGAAATTTTGTTACGATGGGGTCATTCTATCTTATCAAAAGACTGGCTACTGGAATATATTTTTTTAGGTAAAATTCTAAGCATAAATATCACCTGGTGGATTTTGTAATGGGACAAAGAATAGTTCATTCACCTTTAGACGTTTTCTACTACATGTGCCGATATACATAATTTGAAAATTTGACAAAATTATAATTTCATCTCTAGAACTGCCAGATGCTAAGAGCTTGCATCGTTTTTATTGATTACTATACAAACCAAAAGGCACAGGTACATAAGTTCCAATACAAAGAGCGGAAAGTTGGCGTTATAAATGTCTAAAATTTGGTAAGTGTCACAAATACAGGACTCGAATTTAAGAACCGAAAGTCTGAGCACTTTAAGTACAAAAAATGGTAAAGTTATAGTAAACAAATGGCAATTAAATTAAAAAATAAATTTATATATAATTATATTTCGAACTGGAGTGTAGGATGCAAACAAACGCAGCTCAGTACTCTCGATAGATACGGAGTTAGATACTAGACGGATACTGAATCACAAATGGATGCTTGCTCTTTTAAGACTTATCTAGCTCAAAATATTGAACTAGATAAACTCTAAAAGTTCTAATTTTAAAACTGCTGCCTGTTGAATGTATTGCTAAATTATTGCTTATTGAAGTTATCCTCTATAATTGTCTGAAAGTAGTTAATCGCTTCATTAATTTTCATTCTTTATTATCAGTTTTTTTAACCAGTTCTCGTTTTATTTTTATCCTATTCTATCCCTATCCCTTCTGATTTCATGCGTACAGAAGCTCATTCCAGAAGAAGATGTAAATTAGTGAATACAAAGAAGGTAAGAACGGATATAAATAGGGCCAATTAAATATATCTAAAAAGTGCGTAATTCAACTTGCGTTGAATCTTGGTTTATTACTCAGCAATGAATGAAAATTTCAGATGAAAATGGTAATTTCTGGATTTGCGGTTGATAAGTAAGAGTCAGTTATAATGTAGTTCCATGACGCATATCAAATTAAGTTCATTCGTTGAATTCCAACTCTACTGAATGTGTGCATA